TATTTATAGATGAGTTTGTTGTGGTTTTTAGGGAGAAAAACAAATGGGATTTGAATCCTTTTTGGCATATTGTTTCATTGCTTTTTAAACACAACTTTTATGTGCTAATTTGGTGCAAATATGAGGTTTGAGAAAAATGCAGGCGTGGACTGGATCAACAACAATTTGGAGTGTTGTGGCAACTGGATGTAGGATTGTGACATAGCAGTGCAGCAGATTGTGCAAACATGGTTTTGGGGCTTGGTGATGTGCTGATCGAAGAAGACCAGAATGAAATTCGAAGGGTGGTGTTCTGATCGAAGCGTAGAACACAGTCTCCATATGCTGAAGAGCCATGTTCTGATCGAAGGACACAATTTCCATATGTTCTGATTGAAGAGTCATGTTCTAAATCATCTTTGTAAATTCTGATTGCACTTGCGTGAAAGCTGACCCAGAAGTTCTGAAATCATCATATTCTCTTAACACTTAGAAAATTTTCTAAGTGTTTAGAAATTTGATTTTTCAAAGTAATTTCTGACTTTTGATTTCTTGATGAACCAATTTCCTATCCTGATGAAAAATGATTGTTGAAACTTTATTTTGATCCAAAAGACAAAGTTTGACTTTTCAGTGTGCTTTTGACCATTTTGCCCTTGTGAATGACTTTCTTGGAAAATTGTAATCCGAGACTTGAAACTTGACGGAAGCAATCCTGAGGGTCCAGGATGTTCCCTTGATAAATGAGAGGGAAAATTTTGGATACAACATGTTCGAACTTGGAACCTCCTGTGAAAACGTAGCCAACTCAATTTGTGAAATTTTGGCGCCGGAACCAGCTTGATACGATGCAGATCGACCAAGTTAGGATTTTCTAAACATGACGCAGATATACTTTTGTCACAAATTTTCTGTATGAAAATACTTGATAAATCCGCATTTTTGAAGACCTTCTGATCGAAATTGGCTTCCATCCGTGAGAGATGAAAATGTAGATAACGTCAAGACGAAATTTCAGCCACTAGAACGGGTTTAAAACGAGCCACGAGCTTCAAGTTATGAATTTTTTAGTGCGTAAAAATTGCACTTTCAGCACACTTTTTCACCATATTTTTTCGAGAAAACTCGCACATTCGGAGACCTTCTTTAAAGAATTGGCTCTCGAGTCGAACCTGAATTTGAAAATACGTTACCAGGGATATCTTGGCGAACAAACACCTGAATAAGACGCGTCGGGTTGGACTTGTGAATCTTTGAATTCCGAATCATTGTGAAACGGTGAACCGATCTTCAGCATGGAAAATACTCTGAGAACATCCATTGGCGAAATAAACGCCACTTGTAATCTGACGAGGCTTGCTAAAAATAACTTGATCCCATAACCATAGAACCAATGATATGCGTGTATTAAGTTTGTAATGATGAAATATAAGCAAAAATGAAATATAAGCAAAAAAGGTCGAAATGAAGAGGGTAAATTTTGAGGTATAACACTACTCTTCAAATAGAAGAGCTTACAGAGTTTTTAAGTCTAGAACTGGAATGACAGTGGAATCTATCATGTGAAAATTGATGATTCAATTACTAAAGAGAAGGAGGATGTTAGATATAATGTTGGAATATCATAAGTGCAAACTGATGGAGCACTAAGGGAGGAAATTTGTGAATTCACAAGCACTGAATCCATGAATTCTCAATCTAACAAAGGTCTGTCTATTGAAGAACAAATAGAACAATCCAAGGAAATTAATACAATTCACTATGATAAAGGAAACATCATTGAATTAAATATGAAGATATCAAATATTGATGAATGTTTTTCCTTGAGGAATAGTTTGGGTTTCTGGATCAGTAAGAAGCAGGAGTGTGCTTCTTGGTATACTGCTGGAACTGAAGGAAGAGAAACAAGAGAAAGTTTATCTAAACTACTGTTGAAGAGACATGATGTCAAGAAGGATGTCATGATATTTTCTAGTGAAGATCTGAGTTCTTTCAAATTGCTCATTCAACATGGCTGGAACAAGGACTTTGATGGTTTTAGTCAACTGATCAAGAATCCTGTTAAAGGAAAGGTTGAGACTCTGAAGCATATGGACAACAAGGAATAACTTGATGTTATAAAAAATAGTGGGATTGGAACTTGTATTATTAAGGAGTTATAACAATTACAGAGATGAGGGAATGAAACTAATACTGCATCTTTCCTCTATACACTGAGGCATGACATACCTGATCAAATTGCTATTGAGAAGGGTTGGAAGCAAGGTGTTCTGCAAGACAGTAGGGCTGCCTATAGCATCAAGGAATGCATAAGGCTATTTGACAAGGGCATGAGGCTCTTTGACAGAGGCAAGAGGTGGATGACCACCTGAAGTTTGGTTCCATCAGCTTTTTTGTGCTTCCATATGTGGTATTGCTGGTGTGCAATATATATGTTTCCATCTGTGTACATTTACTCAAGTTTTTGTCAATAGTTTGGCTAAAAATGTGGAGTAAAATGTTAGTGTTTTGTGTGACGTGATATTATATCATATGTCTCAACATGTTGATTTAGCATTGTGATAGGACTGTGTGCTACTGCTTTTGAGAGAGTAGCCATTTGTGGTTGCTTGTTGTATGCAACTATTTGGGGGGAGCATGATGATTTTTCATGACACATATGGATATCACTATTTTATCTTCCTATTAGAGAGATTAGCATCACTCTTGATGACATATCGTGCATCCTCCATTTTTTGATAACATGAAGATTGTTGGATCACTTCGCAATTCCTAGATTTGAGGCACTCAACCTAATCACGAAATTCATCATATTGTTCTTTTTCCCATATAGAACATTTGTGATTCCTTATGGACCTTCAAATATTTGATAAGATGTTGGAAGACAAGTGTATGATTCTCCTCTATCTTACATACACTATAAAGCATGTGATGTAGGAAATACCATTGCAACCAAATTCATTAGTGTTGTATCGCGATTAGTGACAATCACATGTGGCATATTTCTTGGTATTTCACATATTATGACTCATTTCCAAATTCCATGTGACATTATCCTTTATTTCATGTTCACAAAACACAAAGTCAACTAAGTAAGTAATCTTTGTAGAAGTAACACAAAATATTTCCAAAAAAGGAAGCATGTACTTGTTAGTCTTGTATGTTGAATATATTATAAGTGCCAGGGGAAAAGTGATGAGAAACTTGATGGAATCAGGATGATTCTATAACATATCTCAAACTGTTTTTCCATCCTCGCACACTATGTACCTAGATACATAATATTTGAGACACTTTGAGGTTTTTTCCTTTTCAAAGCTGCGAGTGTGTTTTTGGACTGAACCATGTTCAATGTCTTGTCAGAAACAAGTTTATTCTCGTCAGAATTCAGACGGCATATAACCGGATGACCAATTAAGTTTAAATATAATCCATGATTATATATACCACAAATGAAATTAAATATCCATGTCTTACTCGATTTGTGATACCCGCACAACTTAAAAGGACATCCACATTTTCTTGTTCTGGTGTCATCACATTTTAACTTATGGATATGTTTTTATACTTGTCACTTCTTTCGCATTTCATCATAACAAATGCATGTATTCGATCAAAACCAGAATTTTGCAGTTAGTGTGTAGATCCATTGAAACATATGTTCACGTAAAGTACACTCATGTTTATTAATAAATTCTTTTCCAACATCAACATATACGACACATTGAAGCAAATATATGTTCACGTAAATTAAACTCATGTTTACTACTAAGTTCTTTTTCAACATCAACATTTGCAACATATTGTTCAGGGTAATTCCAAATCACCATCCTTAGATGCATTAATTTTTTTACTCTTAAAAATTATAGATTTATAAAAATATCAACACATTGTTTACATTAATACATAAATTTAAATAAATATTTCGTCCACAGATTCAACCTTGGACTAGCCGATTACACCCATTTAACTCAACTCACACATAAGTTACTCCACCCACCCCCTTAGATGCATTAACTTTTTGATCTCAGAATCATGGTGCACCAAAACTACAACTAATAAAAAATAAAATAATTTCAATCAACATTCATATAATTAAAAATTCAATTTTCAGACCAATCTTCAAAGATCCAAATTACAATTTCCAGACTCTACGTTCATGTTACAGAAAAGAAAATCAAATTATCACAATGATCATCAACATTAAAAATGTGCATTATTTGAAATTTTTATAGACTCTATGCCTTTTGATGTCAAAACACAATAGAATTGTGTTTGTTAACGAAAATCTTGAATAAAAAAGAAAGAAATTTTAGGAAGAGTTTAAGAAAATATGTTATGATCACGAAGAGTACCCATATACCTGATTTACACACTAGGTAATACAGAATCCGTTTTCCCTCTTGGGATAGTCTGAATTTCAATTGTTGAAGGGTGTGTTTGGAGACCCAAATTCATACAAATATTTACTTGCATTGGATGCAATTTAGATGAAGAGATTTGTTATATTGAAATACTTTTTTGATATTGAGTGTGTTCAAATTTTAATCTCCAAAAGTATTTTTGAATTTCTATAGAATTTGAAAGGACTAACAGTGGAATGAGCATTACCCATATCATATCCTATGTAATTGCCAATAATATGATTCTGAATCATAATCAATAAAACTATTTTTTAAACATAAGGTCCTCGTGTTATTAGATAAAAGAAAGCAAAGTGTTAATTTGCTACTTTACTTACGTTGTTGACACTCAATTATTTTATAAAATGATAGGTAAAATAACAACCTTCATGTTGTTCAACATCTCTTTCAACTTTCAATATTTTCATCAAACAATTACGTTTCAATAAGAGACAGAAACTTGAGTTTACGTATACATCTTTTATATTCTAAATAATTGCGTGTACGTGTTTTATGAGTTGTTTATTGAACAAATATTTGTTTACTTGCATAAACTTTATTGAATTATTGTTCATCCAAGCACTAACATAGTATTATAACCCAGCCTTAAACAAATACATGGATGTTATCCGAGTCCTCTCTACCGATACAATCAAGGCAGCAAAATCTAGTGATAAAAGAATAAATTTGACTCCATGGGATCTCCAACATCTATATGCTCCATCCGACAAAAAAGGCCTTCTTTATAACCATCAAGTAGTAGCAAATCAAATTCAACATCTGAAACACTCTCTATCCTATGTCCTTGAATTTTTCCAACCTCTTGGAGGCCGTCTCAAAATAACAGAACACGATGACAATATTGTCTCGTGTTATGTTATTTGCAACAATGCAGGTGTACTCTTTGTCCATGCTGCCGTGGAAAATACTTGTGTTGCTGATATCCTAGAACCCGTCTATGTTCCTTCAATTGTCAATTCATTTTTCCCTTTTATTGGAGTTAGTAACTATGAAGGCACATCACAACCATTGTTGGCTATTCAAGTCACGGAGCTAGTTGATGGTATCTTCATTGGTTGCAATGTCAACCATGTGGTTGTTGATGGAAATTCCTTATGGCATTTCATCAATTCATGGGCTGAAATTTCACGTAATTCTTGTCATCGTCAATTATCCAAACTCCCAATACTCGAACGTTGGTTTTCTAATGATATTCAACATTCTATACAATTTCCTTTTACTATGGAGATACAAAAGATTCACTCTGATGGGTCAAGTTCTTCACCATCTGATGATGATGAAAAACTCAATATATCAGAGAGAATATTCCATTTCAAAAAGGAGAAAATTTTGCAACTAAAATCAAAAGTCAATACACATATTGATAGTAGTAGTAACATCAAGATATCCTCCCTACAAGCGCTTTTAACACATGTTTGGTGCTCCTTTGTTCGTTCCAAACAATTTGATCCACAAGAAGAAGTTCATAACATGTTTTTGATAGGGGTTAGACCAAGATTACTTCCACCATTGCAAGAAGGTTATTTTGGAAACGCAATTACAGGTTGCAGTGTTACCATGAAAGCTGGAGAGTTGTTGAAGGAAGGTGGGGTTTGTAATGGTGCTTGGGAGATGAACAAGTTAATTGCTTCATACACTAATGAGAAGATAAAAAATGACTACGAGTCTTGGTTGAAGAATCCAATAATTTTTAGGTTTAATGGCAAAACGAATAATAATTACTTAATCATGAGCAGTTCTCCGCGGTTTGATGTTTATGGTAATGATTTTGGGTGGGGAAAACCAATAGCAGTTCGTAGTTCCAATAAATCAAATGGAATTGTTACTGTGTTTCCTGGAATAGAAGAAGGTAGTATTGATCTTCAAGTTCGTCTTCCTTACATTATTTTAGAAGCAATGGGAAGTGACCTTCACTTCATGAATGTTGTGTCCAAGTGATGCATAGTTAACATTTATAACATTTATGAATGTACTTTTTTAGATATTTTTCAAAAAAATAGCGTTTTTTCCGTTATTTTGATCTGGTGAATTTGGTTACTTGTTCTGTGAACCAAATTGCACTTGAATTATTCTAATGTGTGGTAAGTACTCAATTATAGTTAGGAGAAATAATGATATAAAGTATTATTTATTTATTTAAATTTGAATAAATGATAAAATTTACTTAACTCTTTTTATTTGAAAACATGTTGGGAAATAATCAAATAATTGGAATTTTTTTTTCAAAATATTTTTTCAAATTAATCTTACAGGATCAGAATGGACCGTCACAGTTGATTCAGACAGAAGTTGAATGAAATGGGGGTACCTGCAAGGCACTCCGATGGCAAAGTCAGTTACTGAATGAGCAAGCAAGCGTAAGAGTTAGAAAATGTTGAATACCAGACCCTCTCGAAAGAGAGGGTATTTATAGCCCTTAGTGCTGGGCCAATGTCTCTTTATTGGGCTGATCAAGCAGGCCCAACATAGAGACTGTCAGGTTCTACGTGAGTAGTGGAGACCCGTACGTGGCCCCCTACCTGGATGATGTCCTCCGCAAGGTCAGGAGGATATGGATGCGATATTTCTGGGACCACGAAGACTCCACAATATCCGGAGACGTTGGTAGTCAGTCCTACGAGAAAGATGCTCGGGAGGAGCGCCTGCTCGTCAGGGGTGATCCCCGCCATACGCGAGCGCGATAGGGGACCAGTCTTAATCGATGGGCTAGTTGAGGTGTCCTCGAGGCCTTCATGGTCGGGGTGTGAGCATCCTCAGTCTATTCGGGCGTTGTCCCCGCATGGTGAGGTTATCTCATCGCGGGAAAAGGTTAGTAGCTTCCCGCCGTGTTCGAGGGTAGTACCGGTCAGTGGTACAGGTTGGTACACTTGGATTAGGCCTCACTAGGAGTTGGGCCAAGGGTAGGCCCAGTCCAGAACAGGAGCCCCCTAAGTTGTTGCTCCTGGTGAAGGAGTCGCGACTTGATTCAAGTTCGTCCTTTTGCGAGGTTCGCTGCTCGACACAAAGTTTTTATACCGTGGACGAAGAACATCGTCGGTTCATGATTTTGCTCCGAGCAACGGTCGACGCGGGGAGAAGGTGATACACTTGTCAGACACGTGGCGTGGCTCTTGGGAACAGTAATGATGACCTAGGGAGTAGGGGCCATCATTTCCTATACACGTAGGTGTCGAGGAGAAAGGCGGCCTATGACTGCCCGACGCGACGTTTCACATTTCACGTCAGCTCTATAAATAGGGCTCCAAGGCTCATAACTTACTTTCACATTTTCGCGCTTCTACACTTTCTATGTCGTCAACACCGTGCGTTTTTTCCAGAATCCTTGAGACCGCCGCATAATCCGCCGCGTATCCTACCTTAACAACTGTCACTCTCCATCTTTTCTTTAAGTAAGCGTTCTTTTTCCTTGATATCTTGTGTTGTAGATAGATTTTGATGATGTTTAGTAGTAGGGTTTCGCGTATGGGGGTTACGCCCGGGAGATTCAGGCGTTTAGGCGTTTGATTTATGATAATGCCCATGGCGTTCATGCATTTAGGCATGTGATTTATGACTATTCCCGTGACATTCATGCGTTTAACCAACAAACTTATGAACTTGGTCGTGAGATTCATTCTTTCATCAATGTTTAGGCTAGTTTTCCCTGTGATCTCCTTGTGTCTGGCTAACAAATTTACGAACTTGGTTGTGAGATTCATAGTCTGCTCACCATATTCTTCCTGTTCCCGGTACATTTATGATAGACTTAGGCATTCGTCGTTAGGATCGCTGCTTGGTCGAGGTCCACGTATTTCCCCTTTTTTGTGCGAATGGCCGTTGACTTGGTCTGGGCGTTGCTTAACCTCCTCATATGCGTCTAGGAAAGGTGGATTTGCTGTCGAATTCACCAGTTTCCTATACTTTGCAGGTAAATGGCCGACACTCCCAAGTCATCGGAGCACCTGGACACCGAGGGAACCAGCGCAGCCGAGGAGATCGTTAACCTGGTCGACACCGTCGATGATCCTATTCTGGATTGGGTTGGTGCGGAACCGCGAGGGATAGCCTCGATCTACAGTTACACCGGGAGGAAAGCCTATACGGTTGTCGAGTATGGTGGCGGCCAGGAGGGTTTTCAAATAAATTTCAAAATCATAAGGCCGACACAAGACGCCGACAAATGCTCAGAGTTCACTGAGGATGCATTCCCCATGTATGAGATCGTGTTCAAAGACCTTAGGCTTCGGCTTCCTTTCAACGACTTCCAGATGGGGGTGTTCAATCATTTGAACTTGGAGCCCTCCCAGCTTCATCCCAACGCGATTGCCTTTATCCGGGCATTCAAACTTACGTGTTGGTTCCTGAGGATCGGGGCGACGATTCCCCTATTCTTCAGGGTTTTTTCACTTGCAATGACAGTCTCGAGGAGGGAAACATAGTTGGATATCCCTTAAACAGTCGAAAAGGATGTTTAGGATGTACATGGATTCTTTCCGGGATTTTAAGGACAAGTGGTATATCTTGCAACCATCTACCCAAACAACCGTGGATTCAATGTTCGACCCGGCTACCGTGGTGGACGAGGATGGGGAGCCGTGTTTGGACGCCGAGGGTAATCCTGAGATGGGGAGAATATCAAAGTTTTCCATCCATTGGTGCTTGGCCCACTACGACCATGGTCTCAGATATTACCACACTTCTGCCGGCGTATAAGCATCGAGGATGAAGAGGCATATGGCGTCCTAAGTAGATTCGTCGACGATTTCTTCCCCGCTAGGTGGGTTACGAGGGAAGGACATGACGTCCTTGACGAGGACTGAGAGCTAACATTCGAGGCACGTCCGATCAATACCAAAGCGCTCGTTGAGTGTCAATCTTACGGGAAGGCCGTAGATCTCTTAGGTTTCTTGCTTACCTTTACAATATTGATAGCCTTCTTTTGTTTCTTCTATGTAGCTGACTCGGGCACATTTTCTTTGTTTTTGCAGGTCACATGGTGGAACGACAAGAGATATTGCTGAAGTTGACCCAAGAGAAGAAGAGCACTAAAAGGATGGTGAAACCACAACAAGCTACGCGTATGGGTCTGGCCCACGCGTCGGCTAGGGAAGAATCCAGTGGGTCATCGGGCTCTCGTGACGTCAAGCGCCAAGCTACGTTGTTGAGAAAAAAGCAGAGTCAACCAGAAGGCGGACACACTGATGTAATTGACGGAGGGGCGGGTGCCCGGGCCTTCAGCCTACCACCATGTTTCGTGGAAAAAGACTTCTTTGAGGGGTTTCCCTTGACTGTATCTGACAACGAGGCCGACATCATTAGGCAGCTCGACAAGGAAGGTCGAAGGAAGCACCTCGTTTTCAGCATGATCGAGGTGGTGAAGATGGCAGAGATGGTGGTTGTCCTTGCCGACGAAGGGTCAGACTCCTCGGATCGGGTCAAAGAGTTGGAGTCAGAGAAGGCGCCTGCTCGACATCATTGTGGTACCTTGCTTACGGACAACTGACGGGAATACAAGCCCAGGGAAACTCCACGATTCCCCACAAACACGGACCCCAAACGAGCACCCGCATTCAGACAAGCAGAGGGTAAATCGACCTAAGGAAATCCTTCATAACAAGTCGACCATGCCCCTGTAATATCAAGCCTCTCAATGAAATTTGTTTTGATGAAGACAAACCATATTGGCAAGAAGGAAAATATGTTGATCAAGCTAAAGCATCATTGGATAAAAGTCTTTGGTTCAAGCTCTTGGCAAGTTTCATAAGGTATAATAACAATTCTTACTATGAACTTAAGTCTTAGATGCTCAATGATCAAAAGAAGTTTTTAAACTTGTCCAAACTATTTCTCAATTTTCTTAAGCAAAAAATTAATTTTTATTACTGAGCAATCGATTTACATGTTGGAGCAATCGATTGCTTGCCTCACGTTTTCAGGTTTTTTGCTTTTGTTTTCCCATGCAATCAATTTTCATATATGTGTAATTGATTTCTCTCTGTTTGAAAAAGCTTCTGTTTTAAAGTGCAATCGATTTACACAAAAGTGAAGAAGTGAAAAACACAAGAAGGGGGGTTGAATTGTAAAACTGAAAATCAATTGCAATCAACACGGTATTTTTATCCTGGTTCATTTGATCTCAAACTACTCCAGTCCACCCGTCAAGGTGATTTCGCCTCTCTCCAACGAGGTCTTAATCCACTATATTCAACTGAATATTACAATCTGCTTTAACAACTGCTAAAGCCTTCTTGAAGCAAACCACAAACCGGTTTCTCAAGGAATCACTTTCTTACAAAGAATTGAAATCTAGGTGTGTGAATGTTTTCTACAAAACTGTTTATCACAACTGTGATACTACACAAATTAAGCTTATGGAAACTAGATTGCTAAAATAATTGAATAAGAATATTTGGAGCTTTTAGCAAACTGAGAGAAGGAAGATGATGATTAGCTTTTAGGCGTGTAAACTGATGTAGAGCATTAGCCAATTCAATCTTCATTGTCTTGTTTATATATCATTGGAATTGGTGAACGTTGGAGCAATAATCTTGATTCAATGCCAATAACAAACTTTCCTTATTAAGCAGATCTTGTCTGGAATGATGCCGTTGGTAATAACTCGTCTTGAATGCACAGTACTGTTGCCACTTAAGCGTGTTCTGGCTTTGGCTCATTCTGACGCTGCTTAAGTGCTGATGAACTGTTGTTGTCTTTATCAGAGATCAGAGTGTTGAGCGCAGTTATGTTCATCAAACTTCAACATAAGCGTGAGTTGTTCTTCTGATTCTGGTATTCTGATATAGAAACTTCTGATGCTGATGTTGATATCCAATTTTCTGATGCTGATTAGGATGTACTCTTGCTGATACCCATCAGAGTTTCTGTAGAACATAAAGTAATTTTTAGGTAGCAAATAGTTCTTTACATGAATCACACAATTAATATATCTTAGCATTTTA